ATAGGGACCAGTAGAGGGCGGTGTGCGTCAACAGGTTGTTCTGTTACTGTGGAGTAGTTGTTGTTTTTACAAAGACAGCCCTGCTGTGTCACAGACAGACTTTCTGACATGTCAGTGTTTCTTGAACATTACATTCACTTTATTAGGTACACCTGTACAGTCTAATGCAATCTAATACAACTGTTCTCTGCCATAAATACAGCCGATATTTGCAATATACACCCTGTTATAACTGTCTGTGTATCCCATATCCTCTACAATGTTATTGTTATAACCAGACCTACTACAGTGCAAATGCAAAGATGACTGCATGAATATTGACATGTCTGTGTCTTCACAGTGACAGCTTTGAACTTCTGCCTCCTCACAGTGAGTCAACTGAACTGAGACAGAATATGTTAAATATTATGTATAACCTGTAAGTCACATTTAAGTTTCTCCAAGTCCTTTACTGAAAGAAGTAGTGGACCCTCACACCTGTTAATTCAGTTTAATTAGCCTTTTTCTTATTCAGTGTTTTGTCTTCAAGTGTCTGCAGCTGAGGTTGGTTTCTGCTGGGGAATCAGCCTGGTCTGAGGAGTTACAGTGGGGAACTTCATACTGGAGAGACATGAGTTCAACATGAGGAAGAACCAGCCGCTGTCAGAGAGTCAGAGGACTGTTGAAGGACGAAACAATGGTTCTCTTCATTACAAGCTCACCCCACGATCTGGCCTTCATACAAGTAGATCATCTTGACTTCGAGCTGGGTGTAATGAACAACACCAACAGCGAGAGTGTGTCAGAGTAAACCGAATGAACGCATCCACATTAAAAAGGCCACATTGATCAGACAGGTGTCATGCGTCACAGATACTGTGAATCCTGAACGGAACCTTGACCAATTCACACCTGATTTGCAAACTTAAAGCAAGGAACAGCGTGAGAAAGAGGTAAAAGACTGCCAGCCATTTAGTATTAAACTACGTTCAAGGCAAATTCAGTCATGCCTAGCTTGGCGAAACACCATTTTAGGCAGTGGACATTTTTAAATCAAAAAGCCGCAGCCAAATCATTTTAACTGATTTCAAACTATGACTCAATCGTAATATCTATGACCTTTTGATACATGGCATATCATTTGTTGAACCTTCAACTTGATGTAAAGTTCAGTTTTTATGTATAATAAAGAGACAAAAGTCTGGTGTAAACAGTAGTTCTTTCGGATTCTCTCTCTTTTATTCCCGTGTAAGTGTAAGTCAGTTCAGAACAAAACATACTAACATGTTCAGACAGAAAGGAGGAAGCTGAAGATGTCCGGAGAGAGCAGCAAGATGGAGGAGAGACTTTGAGCACAGGAAAACATGAGACAGAACAGGCGCTCAATTTAAGAGACTTGCTGCTGCTACTGTCATGAAAAGGTACGTTTTAGTTTGGTTTATATCTTTGACGTTGGTGAGTTGGGGGCTGGTGGGGGGCGCAGCTCTTTTTGCCTATCAGTAAAGGTCAACGCACACCACTGATTCACAGTACTGAAGGACTGGGGTCTGCTGATTGTAGATGATGGTTTGTTTCAGTCTGTGTTTAACCTGCTTTAAGTTGCTTCTTTGACTCTGACAGAGTTTCACTGATCCTCAACAAAGAAGAACTTTCAATAAACTCTCATGAACTGTCGTTTAAGAGCAACTTTTCAGCCTTTGCCAGTTGATATGAATCCCTTTTAACAAAGTCTGGTGGAGAGGAATAAATTTGACTGTAAATGTGTCTTGACAGGATGTTTCTGTGTTTGCACATGAGACACTGAAGCTGCTTTTAGACTTCTTACATTTTATTTAGCTGCAAAATATGTTGACAAAGAAAAAGTATTTTGGTGCACTTCTTTAATACGATCTCCTTGCACTTATTAAATTGATGTAGTACTTAGTATTTACACTAAGGTTCCTACTGCACTGAAACTCACTGATGTCCTTCACTTGTAAGTTGCTTTGGATAAAAGAGTCAAATGAGTAAATGAAGGAGAATATAGATAGATAGATAGATAGATAGATAGATAGATAGATAGATAGATAGATAGATAGATAGATAGATAGATAGATAGATAGATAGATAGATAGATACTTT